TGCCAGCTTTACCTATCTCAGCCATCTAATGCCCCGCAGCTGTTTCTGCATTACAGCTGTGGGAGGAGGTAAGGAAGATGAGAACCTTTAGGAACAGGCTCCAGAGGTAAATATGGATCCACAATTGTAAAACCCTCTGGGTAGGAGCTACATCAAATCTATGTTCTATCGATGTGGACCCCTACCAAACGCGCAGGCAAGGTGGGATATAAATCTAAAATAATAAATAAATAGCTTTCCAACAAGAAGCTGAGGGCAGAATATATGGCTCCCTCCTTCTCCATCCCCACAACCCTGTAAGGTAAGTTAGGCTGTAAGAGAGCAATTGGCCCAGTGAGCTCACATGGCATAAGCGGGATTTGAACCAAGGTCTCTCAGGTCCAACACTCTGTCCAACACTACACTCTTCTCTGCAGTGCATTATCAGGTCACAGTAATACCAGATCAATGCAATGCAATACCAGGTCAATGCAATCTGGCACTTTAAGAAAAGCAAAAGCCACCCTGTTTAAAATGCCTTTGGTGTCGTGTTTAAGAGCAGCAGGCTCTAATCTGGAGAACCGGGTCTGATTCCCCATTCCTCCACATGCAGCCAGCTGGGTGACCTTGGGTCAGTCATAAGTTCTTTCAGAGCTGTTCTCTCAAGAGCAGTTCTCTCAGAGCTCTCTCAGCCCACCTTACCTTCCAGGGTATCTGTTGTGGGAAGAAGAATGAAACACCGAGTGAAGAGCAGGGTATAAATCCAACGCTGCTTCTTTCAATTCTGAGTTCAGAGACATCAAATCAAAGCTTTTGGAAGGAGGCAGGAAAGAAGTTGGCATCCATAGCATTTGCCTTCTGCAGCTGTGCTTTTACAAAGAACCCACCAGGTCCTGCCACAGTGCTCTTGCACTTCGCACATATTTGCAAGTGTAAGGAGAATCCTCGGCCAGTTTCTCCGAAGTAATCATCCATGGCCATCAATCACAGTACAAAACTAGCCGTGCTTCTCTTGATTTATTCTTGGATGGAAAAGAATAGATCCTTCCTCTGGTTTATCAAAGTGACTTAAAACCAGGAAAAATAAATCAACCATTCAAAATGGGTTGCTGTTTTGCTTAGATTTGCGAGAGCAGTCTACAAAAGGTTCTAAGAAATCGGTTGTGCCACAGCCTAAGGCCCCGGACCCACGCTGTAGATCAGAGCTTCAGAATTTCACCCAAGGACCACTGAAACCTGGGAAACCCCTTGAAGGAAGATGGCTCTTCACCCCTGCTCTGGCAGCCTACCCCAAAGTGCCCTAGCTGAGAAAAGCAGAGAGCTACACGGACCTCTTGAAAGGCAGTTATTTGGAAGAAGGTGCTGGGCTGGCCTAAGCAGACTTACGGTCTATCCAGACTCATGGTTTATCCAGGTCTTTCAAGTATGCTGTTCTCAGATCTTGCAAGACTTCAAAAGATTAAAACTGGCACCTTGAATTGCACCCGGGGAACGAGCTGCAATTTTTGACCTGGCGTTTCATGAACGCGCTTGCCCAAGGCCAACCAAAAGGCGATTTGCTGTGTCCTGGGCAAGCTCATGTTTCCAGATGACCTTCAAGGGCAGCCCCATGCAGACCATTTTACAGCAATCCAACTGGGAAGTGACAGAAGCATGGACCGGGGTTGTTGGGCTGGCAGAATTCAAGAGGGATGAAAAGGTAATGGGGTTAGTTGCTAAGTGATAACAGGTGCTCCTGACAAGTAGCCCCAGTGGCTTCTCCAAGTGCCACAATGGGTCCTTTTCAGAAGAAGAAGAGATTGGATTTATACCCCGCCCTTCACTTGGAGTCTCAGAGCGGCTTACAAACTCCTTCCCTTCCCCTCCCCACAACAGACACCCTGTGAGGTGGGTGGGGCTGAGAGAGCTCAGACAGAAACTGCTCTTTTTCAAGGACAGCTGTGCCAGAGCTTGTGACTGACCCAAGGTCACATCAGCAGGTGCAAGTGGAGGAGTGGGGAAGTAAACCTGGTTCTCCCAGATTAGAGTCTGCGCACTTAACCACTACACCAAACTGGCACTACACCAAACTGGCTTATGGGAAGATCCCATAAAAAATGCACAGACCCCCCCCCCAACCGGAGTTAAGAGCATCTGCCTTCCCCACCAGCAGTTGCTCTTTGGAATTAAGATTTGGCCGGCCTCTGGATCACAGGGATTTCCAGGGATTTCTTCTTACCCCCCACAAGCTATACCCTCCAGCAGTCAAACTGATAAGACTAAATGACCTCAAGCAGTAAGACTGATCCTTCGGGCTTGGTAACGCCCTGCCCATCTTCCCAACTGCTGCAGATAAGCCAAAGGTAAACGCACACCGCATTTTCCACAGCCCAACCAGACAGAGCACTGAAACACAAAACTATTCCCTCTTGGCAACCTCGAGACACAAGGAAGGGTGGAAGAAGTTGCACAACTATTCTGAAGGCAAAAAGCCCACATACTGAAGAAAACAAACCTTCACACCATATGTTGTAGTGTGTCAGTTTGTTGCATTCCAAGGCGGGGGGGGGGGGAAACCTCCACTAACTTGGCAATAGTCCAGGCTAGCCGGATCCCATCAGACACCCGGAACTAAGCACTTGCATGGGACACCAGCAAGGAAGTCCATTGTCGCAAGGCAGAGGCAGGCAATGGCAAACCCACCTCTGTTGGTCTCTTGCCTTGAAAACCTCACTGGGCTTGCCATAAGTCAGCTGTGACTCGACAGCAAAAAAAAAAAATCTTGGCAAAGGACTCACTTCTGTGTCACTTGGACAGATGCACAAAGGTTATGCTTGTCAAAAACTCTACAGCACAATCCCTCAGCGTCTCTTATGATCCACTTCACTAAAATATACAACTGCTAGTACGGCAGAGGCAATTTGTGTTGAGATTCAAAAGCTTTTGTGCACTTGCATACATATGCCTCTGCAGCAAATAACAGTGGCCCCAGGAGGTGGCTGCTAAGTTTCAGCACAAATGCTTTGTGAAAAATCTACTATTGCAATATTTGAGCATTCACAGCAGAAACCGTCTCTCTCAGAGAAGGCAAACCACCTTTGACTCACAGCCCACACACCTCTCAGGCCTCCTGTTTCCTGTCTCCACTGCATATTTTCATGACTTGCTTTTGAAAATGCTAATTTCTCCGCTCTCGGCACAAAAACAGAAGGCAGGGAATCACCAAGTTGCCCCCCCAAACATTTCTCACTGAAGAATCCCATGAACGCAGGGCGACCCTGCAGACATGATATCCTGAAATTACAACCCTCGCCAAACAGCACAGGGCAGACCTGCAACACAAGTTGCATCGGCACCCTGTTCTCTCAACGTTTACTCAAGGGAGTTGCACTGTCTGTACACAGCGGGGAGTAAACAGAGCCGGCAGTGAGGTGACATAATTTGGGGCTGAAGTGTCAAGCGGATGGAAACGGCTCCTGTTTAAAGGTGCATTCCCACCCACACTTTCCCTAGGAAGGTTAGGACTTCAGCCCCCAGTAACTCCCTGAGTTCAGAGGAACCAGTCGCTGCTGTTCCAAGGCAGAAAACAGGAAACATTCCGCAGCAAAACATCTGACTGCTCCCAACGCAGGGACAGAACGGGCGCTCTTCCCACTATGTACACTTCTGGGTCCTGCCACTCTTCTCTGTCCCGCTCGGCTAAGGCCTTCAGACGGCCCACTTCATCCCACGATCCACTCCAAAATGCCAACCCTGCCAGTCCCTCCGGCCCTCGATCGCCCACTCTAAGCAAACCTAGAGTCCCTGGGCTCTTTTCCCAGTTTGACCCTCCAGCATTCCTTTCCACACCAGCCCCCTTTTCTGAGTCCTCTTTGTTGACCCCCTGGATCAAGCAATGACGGCTCCCCCATGAATTCCGCCACACCCAGCTCAGACCCACAACTCCTATTCCCACGTGACCCCACCCACACCCTGAAGACAGCAGCTATCCCCAACAAGCCCTTCCCATCCCTCAGCTCCCTCCTTTTCCTAGCAGTGGACTCCAAACAGCCATTTATCCTGTCCTGCAGCGCACCAGGATGACTCTCCACCCCTCCCCCATAACAAACCTATTCAGAGTGCCCAGGCTGACAAACCGGCCAAGGATCACGTGACCGAGGACCGGAACCCTGGTCTCCCCACTCCAGATCGGGTCCTGCACCCAACCCAAGCGCTTTCTCTGCCAACTGGGGCGCGTGAACTATACCCCTTCAGGAGTCTCTGGTCTCCCATCTACCCTTCCCTCCCAGCCCACCTCTAGCTGACTTAATTTGGCAGAAACACAAGACACAGATGTTGCATGTAATTTGTAAAAAAAAGTTTTTAAAACTCTTATTCCCTCCCCCCAAAGAGACACCCATTTCCCCCACAGCTCCCTTTCGTCTCCCACACACTGCAGCCCTTTCAGTGAATCCTCGGGGGGGGGGGAGCCCCCACCCCATCTATCCCAAAGCAACAACTACCTGCTCCCCCACTCCACCCAAAACTTCTCACGCCCCCCCTTACACAAAGAAGTTCCCCATCTCCCAAATAAGACCCCCACCCCTCAGATCCAGAAATATTCTTGCAGTACCTTCCCCCCCCCTTATTCTGAATGCAAGTGGGAGTCTTCCACGTTTTCTAGTAAAGCTCCCCCCGCCCTTGGCAAACTGTGCCTCTCATAAAGCATCGCATGCCTCCCCTCCCAACTTTTTGCCCCCTCCTGGTACACCTATTGAAGCCCCTCCCGCCCAACTCTCCATATGTTCGACCCCCCCCCACCTTCCCAAACCTTCTCTCCCCCCCATGCCTCTCATAAAGCCCCACTCAGCACCCAACTCTTCCAATGCAGCCCCCCCAACGCCACATCATCAACTTTGCTGACCCCCTTTTGCCCCCCACTTCCCGCCCCTCCCCAGCAAGCCCCTCCCACCGGCTGGCACCCCAGCACTCAGCTCCGTCCTCTTGCCCCTCCCACTGGCCGCTCGTTGAACCTAACTGGCTCCCCCCCTTTTTCTCCTTACATGGTACAGCCGGCTAAGGGTCCGTCCTTCGCCCCTCCTCACCTCCGCTTCGCGTCCTCCTCCACAGCAGGCCAAACTCAGACTGACTGAGCCAGCGGGAGAGGAGTGGGCGAGGTCCGGGCCGGGCAGAGGCGGAGCCCGGCCTCCATGCTCCACCCCTCGCCCGGCCCGCCAGCCACACAATGCGCAGCGGCGGGGACCACTGCCATGGCAACGTAGGGAGGCGGGGCCGAGCGTTGGTCACGCGGACGAAGAGGCGGGGGACGAAGGGGGAAGAGACAAGGGCCGCGCCAGAGTGGCTCGAGCCATAGAGAAGAGGGTTAAGGCTAGAAAAGCCGGTTGTCTAGAAAAGCGAAACCAGCCGTCCACTCTAGCCACACGGAGGTGACAATTCTTGTCAGAGGCGAAAAAGTGGAGAATCTGCGAGTTCGAATCCACTGGTGTTGAGACCGAACAAAAATCACGAAACAATTAAATACATTATTAAAAGGCCCTTTAGGTGTTTAACTGGGAGGAGGGTTTTTTCAATTGCAAGGATTTTAAGTAGAAGCTGGCTTTATTTTAAGAATGGCACAAGAGGAGAAATTCCGGGGCCGACCCCAACTGCTGAAAAGGCAGGATCCATTTCCAAATATTTTTCTTTACAAATATTTTTGAAGAAAAAAATAAAAATTAAGCCTTCTATCCTAATCAGGCAAGCCAGTTCCTGGGTTTCAAATATTTTAATTGTAACATGTCTCAAGTCTAAGAAAAGCAGACTGCTAAGTGCTGTGAAATTGACTACTATTTTTAAGCCATTAACCACAAATATCATGATGCTATTATTGTAATCAGCATTACATTTTTATTGAAAGCCAGCTCAAGAACACCTTGCCCTAGAATTTTACTAAACATAAAAATACCGAAGACAAATACAAAAAATATACATCCTTTAACTTCCAGTAATGTAAGATTTACAAATGTTAAGATATAAACAGACATATCCCGTACAAACAAAAATACAGTAAACAACTGCAAGGACAGGAAACTGGATGGCAGAAAACAAAATTCATGAGGAAAAACAGCACATCCATCCCCTACAAAAATGACTGAGGGAAGATACTTTTGTCCTTCTTCCATAATATTAATTCACTCCCAATTACATGGAAAAGCCAAAGGGAGGCCAAATGGATGGATGGACTTTTATAAATCTAGGTCACCACCTTCTCACAGCAGCCATTTTGAGCAAAAGATAAGGTCTAGTCACGTAACGTCCATGTTCAAAAATGTCATCCACAGAGTCTTAATCACTTGGATATGGAGCAATATTCAGCCTGAGGGGAAAAGTTCCATAAAGCTCATACACTTGGGTACTGCTTTATTTGATCGTAATACTAATACATTTTTATCCCATCCTTCCTCCAGGGAGCTCAGAGTGGCATCCATCATTCTTCCCTCCACCGTTTTACTCTCACAACCACCCTGCAAGGTAAATTAAGGTGAGAGAGACGGACTGACCGAAGATTATCCGGTGAGCCTCAAACTGAATGGGAGCATTTAAAGTATTTCCATATAAAATCTGTCTCAGGCACCACCCTATATAGCAAGACACAAAGGCACTTTCTACTATTATTTGGGTTTCTGCCAAAACCCAAAGATCACAGCTGCACCCACCCCAAAAAGGATAACTGACCCATTTTGGCAACCTTTTAAACCTGGCTTTGGTCCACTAAGATTAACACCATCTAATCAGTTGACTGGACCGCTCGCTCTTCCAGACATGAATATATGCAGAGGAAAATTCTGTTCACTGAGAACATTTTTATATCGTTAATCATATTCTTAATATTCCAGAAATAGTAGCAACCCTGTCTTGGCTTGGGGACCTCCCATAAATTCCAGTAACCCCAGGCCTCCCAGCAAATTCCAGCTGCCCTGTTACTTAAATGGTAAGTGATTTCCCTGTTCTGCACAAACTTTGTAAAAAGCCAAGGAAGGCGGCCTAATATCCAATCCACATCATACTGAGGTGAATGCTTGCCAGACAAGCTGGTAACTCTGTACCTGGACTGAACCACTTCATATTGCAGGCAGGCACTGAGAGCCAGTGTGGTGTAGTCAAACCCAAATTTCACCCCCCCCCCCCCCCGCCATGGAATGGATGACCTTTGGCCAGCCACACACTCTCAACCTAACCTATCTGATAGGGCTGTTGCGAGGACAAAGCGGAGAACAGGGAACTATGTAAGCCACTTTGGGTTCCGACTGAGGAGAAAAGCAGGGTATAAATTCAGTAAAACAAATAAATGAGGCAACGCTGCTCCATCCAAATCCATTTCCTGCATAATGAAAACGATAAACTACCGTGCACTGTTTAAAAAATATATATATAAAAACATTCAGTGGCGAAATCCCCCACCTGCAAACCAAAACAACACAACATAAATACCCATTTACCACTTCAACTGTTGTCTGTGAGAACAATGCAATCTGAAAAGCATTCCGCATCCAGCTAATTTGACTGACAGCTCCAGGCAATTTTCCAGTATGGGTGTCTTCTGTTAGGCTAACTGTTTTCTTTCTTTTCTTTTTTTAAGGGACTTTTTTGCTTGCTCAAAGTGAGAAAACCAATTTGGCTGCGGGCTGCCACCTACTTGAATCCGAGTGCTGCAGCTTAAGATGGTTAACTCACAGCCATTTCCAGCTGAGGGGGAGCCAATGCACAGAGACAAAAGAGAGGAACTCTCCCTCCTTTCCCCTTCTTCTGAACACCTGGGCCATCCCTCTCCATGCTGACATCTGCAACTTGCACTTCCCGAGATACAAGAGAGCCAGCCTCCAGGCAGGCTGCCAGTTGGCTTAAAACCCACACCTGTGAGTATCTTCCATTACGCTCCTTCTTCAGTTGTTAACTAGCACCTTCCGCTGGTTCCCAGTTCTCAAGGTCCAGATCCACCTGAATCCCAACTGGCTGTAAAGATAAGAAAAATGTGCTATCAAAAGACAGTGGTTCATTTTTAAAGGGCTATCCAGAAAACTAAATGTTACCGCCTGCCTATCCTAAGATGCCTTGAGTAGTATAAAAAAGGCAGAAAACGAGGCATTAACACTCAAAACCTGGGGTATCAGATTTACCTCATAACCAGGCTTGTAGCCATGGTGGGGCATTTGGGGGCGGAGCCCCACCACAGATGAGCCCTGCCCCACCATGGGAAGATGCCAGACACCGCCCCCCCCCCATGTCCGGTGTGCTATGCCCCTTACCCCTGCCTCTCTGTGGCCTCGATGGCTCTTCCAGGGAAGCCGCCTTGCCACTTCCGGTCAGTTTCACCCCCACATCAGCCCAGGTGTTCAGCAACTGATGGGGGGTTGGACTAGATGATCCTGGAGATCCCTTCCAACTCTATGATTCTATGATTCCCTTTCCTTCCCCCAGCCTCCCCACCGCTGCAGGGGGCCTGGAGAAGGAAAGGGAAGCCACCCTGCCACTTCTGGTTAGTTTCACTCCAGGCCAACCAGCTGTTCAACCTAACAGCTGATCCCTGGGGAGTGAAACTGATCAGAAGTGGCAGGGCAGCTCCCTTTGCCTTCCCCACCTGGGGAAGGAAAGGAAAGCCGCCCTGCCGCTTCTGGTCTGCCCCCCCCCATGTGCTCCTCCCCCACAAATTTTCTGTCTATGGGGCTGCTCATAACTGAGACCTCTGTTCCAGTACAGAGCAAGCCAAACCACTGTGGGGCAAAACAATGGCCATTGTTTCTTATTTCAAAAGTGTGCAACCTAGTTTTCCCAAAGGATCTGATCATAGCAGTGGCCAACCTGTGGGGCCATAGCAGGGAGCCAACAGCCCAGAGTCTAGGCCGAGTGGGTCTAAACAGCCTTTCACACGCCTCTATTTCTGGCACAGAATCATAGAGTTGGGAGGGGCCATACAGACCACCTCGTCCAACTGCCTGCCCAATGCAGACCAGCCTAGAGCATCTCTGATAGAAAAACAGGCTCCAATGCTCCCCCCTCCACTTTAAGTGATGCTCTGTAGCTCCACAGAGAAACACAAATGGTTAGCCATTTTCCTGTCAGGGCTCTTGCACACATATCGAGATTATCATCTGTGGCCCCCAAGAGACAATCTTCGGGTGTCCTCACCTGCCGAGGAGATTTTGTTAAGGACGCAATTCGACAGCCGCTGGTTTTCCCGCAAGATTCCTTGCCGTTCTCTAACAGCACGCGACTACTAGGCACAAAACTCCAGGAACGACCCAGTGCTGGTTTGATTTGCCCGCTGCTGGCATCTCGAGTCACGTGATTGGTCACCTGAAAGAAAATGGCTAGCTCCACCTCTGCAATTGCTCCACCACTCTGTATGTCGAGAAGGTAGACAAGGCAGTTGCTCCCAACCCCTTCTGGACCAAAAAATGACACTTCAGAAGAAAACAGATATGATTTTGGGTGAACAAGAGGAGGTTTTCGCCCAAAAAACCACCGAACAAACAGAAGAAGCTTAACACTTGGAATGAAAATTCTCATGTCAACATTAAGGCAGTGAGTCATAAGATTTGAGGAGTTTGCCTAGAAAGAAGATAACATGTTCCACAGGAAGATGGGCCCAATTCACCAATCACTTTTTAAAAACATGTACAAAATCTGGTTATCTTTGCTTTTAGGGGGTAAAAGTTTCAGAATGTCCCACGAAGGGCGTTGAGATCAGCAGATAAGAATCTCCTGGTGATTCCCGGCCCCAAAGATATCCGGCTGGCTTTGACCAGGGCAAAGGCTTTCTCAGCCTTGGCCCCAGCCTGGTGGAACTCTCTGCTGAATGACATCTGTGTGCTGTCTGATCTATTAAAATTCCGCAGGGCATGCAAGGCAAAGATGTTCTGCCAAGCCTTCGGTTGAGGCCAGCGACAGTTCCTTTACATCTGCCCGGCACCCTCCCCTCCCTCCCATGAAGATATGAATGCTAAATATGCCATCTTGTTTAAATATCTGTGATCCCGGTCACATGGGCCGTAAAGGGGGGGGGGGGAGAGCGTGGCAGTTTGGACCGGAGCAAAATAACACGCGGCCACCCGATCACAGGTCCCGTCAAAGTCCCGTGGGTAGGGGCGAGGTGGCGATCACACGATGCTCCTGCAGCGCGGCAAAGAAGTGGCGCGATCTCACCAACGGCATGCGCGATTCTGCGGAGCAACGGAACTTTCACTTTCCTCTTTGTGCGCATGCGCCGTTGGGTGCTTGTGCGCAACCTGTGGAGACTTGGGGGGGGGAACTTTGCGATGGGACATGGGCAGGCGCCGGATGCCACGGACTACCACCGGAAACGCGATCAGACGCCAGCCCTTGCCCCGCGGTTTCCGGAAACTAGTACCTCGGAGGTACTAGTTTTTAACTCCGCATCTTCAGCGGGAAGCCTCGGGTTCGCCAGGGGAGCTCTACGCTTCCCAGATGTCACGGTGTGATCGTGCCTGGAAAATCCGCCTATCATCCGTCTCAGTAGCGTGGCTAATGCTCCGTGTGACCGCAGCCTGTGTTGAATGTTTTAATACTAAATTCTGTAGTTTTAACTGGTTTTAAGATTGTATTGGATTTTATGTTGTTGTAAACTGCCCTGAGCCCCGCGCAAGCAGGGAAGGGCGGTTAAGAAATCAAAATGCATAAATAAATATATTTTTTTAAAAAACTGGCAGGCTATAGTTGGTTGGACCATAAGCAAAGTCAAAAGGGAAGCAGGCAAGTAGGCAGAGTTTAAAATTTAGATCCCACTTAAGAGAGTGCATAAAAAGGCCTACTGGAGGCCTGCGAATTGCAGTTCTAGGAAACAGGCTGACATGCAAACCTAACATTTTTAGGACTGTACGATAATCATCCTTAACAAAAGAGCGTTCAACTTCACCCATATAACTACAGTTCCCAAGGTTCTCAGGGATGGAGGGCTGGCTCCATCTCTGTGACATGATACAACCACATTCAAGCCGGTTGAATCTGGTTTAATGAATTCATACCACAGACTTCAACACACATGAACACATGAAGCTGACTTTTACTGAACCACACCACTGGTTCATCAAGGTCAGTAGTGTCTACTCAGACGGGCAGCATCGGCTCTCCAGGGTCTCAGGCAGAGGTTTTCCTGTTGCCTGCTCCTTTCATCTAGTGTTGCCAGGGTCTGAACATGGGACCTTCTGCATGCCAAGCAGATGCTCTACCATTTAGCTATGGCTCCTCCAAATACTTGAGAGTTCAAGCATCTCCAACTGATACAGAGAACAAGACAACAATAGGACCTTAGCATCACATCCTGCTTGTCCACTTCCCCAAAACACCTGACTGACTTGCCTTGTAAACACGATTACTAAGCTAGATGGATTTGTCTTTTGTTTTAGACTTGCAAAAGTATAAACTTGCGGTTTATGTTTTTGCATACTACTTACGCTTGGGGTCCCTAGTGTTTGACTTTTGTTTCAGACCAGCAAGAGCCATTAGTTTCATTTCAGAACCCAAATTTCCATAAAGACGGTGGGATCTTGGGTTCCTTTATTTTTACACATTTAGGGCGCATACTTGAACAGATCTCTCTCTCTCACACACACACACAGCTGCTCCAGCTTTGGCAGTGGTGAAAAAATGTCCATTGGCTCACAAGACCATAAATCAGTGGCAAAGCCCTTGCTTTGCATGCAGAAGGTCCCATTTCCAATCCTAGATAGCTGCTGTTAAGAATCTCAGGTGCTCAGAAAGACCTTCGCCCGAGACCCTGGAAAGCTGCTACCAGTCAGATAGACAGTACTGAGCTAGAGGGACTCTACATAAGGCAGCTTTGTCCATTCATGATGGGGTACAGGGGGAGGGGAGCACTCACCACAACAGCCACTCCAAGCTCCTTGGCCAGCGTCTTCAGCTCCCGAGCCACGTGCATCATGAGGGCCATGCCTATAGAAAGAAATAGCCCTGGCATCCAGAATACATTTATAACATTGAGCTGCGGTGGCTCAAGTGGTTAAGACGCTGAACTGCAGGCGGTGGAAGGTCGGTAGTTCAGGAGTTCGAGACCCGGGTGCCGCATGACGGAGTGAGCTCCCGTCTCTAGTTCCAGCTCCTGCCAAACTAGCAATTCGAAAGCAAGAAATTGCAAGTAGATAAATAGGTACCACTTCGGTGGGAAGGTAACAGCGTTCCGTGCGCCTTGGTGTTTAGTCATGCCGGCCACATGACCACGGAAACGTCTTCGGACAGCGCTGGCTCTTCGGCTTTGAAACGGAGATGAGCACCGCAACCCTAGAGTCGGATTCGACTGGCTTTCGAGCAAGGGAACCTTTACCTTTACCTTTTCCCCAAAAAAGCAATGCCTTTTGCAACAAAGCCATCATTCGACATACAGCATACAGTCAGAACTTCCAGTAACCTAGATATGGTGGCTTGTGATATTCTGGAGGGATTACCACTCCCATAATGTGATGTGTATTTTAGACGTATGCCAAGCCCCCTTCCAAAAAACCCCTCCTTGTTGTTTGTCCTTGCCTGCATATTCTCTCTGGCCTGTAGCTGAGCTACTGAGATGTCACAGAACATTCACAAACATTCTCATGGCCGGAGGTGAAGGGTCGAGGTCAGCTTGTCGAGAAACAATGCAAAGGCAAGGAAGGACTTGGGGGCGAGGAGATTCTTGCCTTTCAGAACGGGAAGGGCAACTGCCTGTTTCCCCCCAGTTGTTACTCAGTTTAAAGACCCCTGCACAACAATGGGGCTGCAAACAATATCAGTGCTCATGGGAAGAAAGACAGATAGAAACTTCTAATACTCACCATCAGGCTGCCGGCTTCCCAAAAGAGGGCAAATCACAGCGGAGACAGAATCTACCACTAGAATCTTCACCGGCGCAGACGCCCTAATAACCTGCTGAAAGCCACAGGGAACCAAAAGGCCAGTGAAGAAAAGGAAATGGACAGAGAGCAGACACAGCCAGAAACAAGGACCCACCCAAGAATACACCACACCCAAAGTCCCAATCAGGAAATGTCATCTTGTCCCAGAGTTCCCTGGGAGCACATGGACCAGGCATCCTTGGTCGACCTCTGGCAGGCCGCGGGCTTCAGAACAAGCTGAACCCGGTCACTGGTGAAGGACTAAGGAAGATGGCCTGGCCCTTTTTCTTTGTTTATTTGCAAAATACACCTCTGAGGTTATCAGGGGCTCTGATCCGCGGGGCTCCCACCTCCTGAGCCACGGTGCTCCGGAACTCATGCAAGACATCCAGCAGCCTGTAGGCATCGAACACGCGAGTAACTTGGATCCTCTGAAGCGCCTCCACCTGTAAAGAGGAGAGGATCAAACAGGCAGGGGACATGGGCAAGGAGAGGCACAGTATTCTGCACACAGAAAACAACACTTAAGAGCACTTTTGAACGCAAGGCAGATGCATTAGTGTTATTTTATTCACCTCATTTACACTCTGCTCCAATGGGACCCACACCAGCTACATTGCTCTCCCCCCCTCCATTTTATCTTCACAACAACCCTGTGAGGTAGGTTAGGCTGAGAGTATGGAACTGCCCCAAGGTCACCCAGCAAGCTTCCATGGCATGAGTGGGGATTCGAACCTGGGTCTCCCAGATCCTGTAACATTCTAACTACTACAACCACACTGGATCTCCCCCTATGACACATGCTCATTTGGGGCTGAGGCTGCGCATGAGCGCAACAAAACCAGTTGCCTCATTCAAGCCAGAGACCAAATTCATGAATTGCCGATTCACAGCTCAGCGACAAGAGCATCTCCTGAAGTGCAATCTGGCACTCTAGCAGCCTCACAGCTTCAGTTCAAAAAGCAGTACAAGATTCTAGTCCAGAGGAACCCCCTTTGTTGCCACAGAACTAAAAGGAACCAAGAGGCTTCCAACCCTGTGCACTCTCTGTCTCCCTCTTTCGCTCTCTGTCTCCCTCTTTCTCCCTCTTTTGCTCTCTGTCTCCCTCTTTCGCTCTCTGTCTCCCTCTTTTGCTCTCTGTCTGGTAGATCCATGAGGAAGAAGAGGAGGAGATTGGATTTAAACCCCGCCCTTCACTACCCGAAGGAATCTCAGAGTGGTTTACAATCTCCTTTCCTTTCCCTTCCCCACAACCTGTGAGGTAGGTGGGGCTGAGAGAGCTCTTTCGAGAACTGCGCTTGAGAGAAGAGCTCTGAAAGAACCACCGCAACACACTAGTGCTCAGCGAGGAGAGAAACTGGCACCCCGCTGACTAGCTACAGCAAGTAAGTAGGAAAAGGTGATCCTGATCCAGCTTCATTCTTTATCCGTAATCTGCAGCCTCTATTGGCTAGCGGCGGCCCTAGAAGAGCAGGTGGGTTGCAAATATGTCTCCCTTCCGCAGAACTATTTATTTGCTTCATTTATAGTCCTTTCTTGCGCAGCACCAAAACAGATTGTTTCATCTATTCAATTAATTCATTTATACACTGCCTTTCTCCCCAGTGGGGGTCCAAAGCAGTTTACATCCTTCTCCTCTCCTCCAGTTGACCCTCACAACAACCCTGTGAGGTAGGTTAGGCTGAGTCTGTGACTGGCCCAAGGTCACCCAGCGGGCTTCCATGGCACAAGTGGGGATTCAAATCTGGGTCTCTTGGATCCCCGTCTGACCCTCTTAACCCACGCCACACTGGAAACTTTTTAAAACCAACAATATATACAATAAAGGTTCTTTACAAGCACCCACAAATATTACAACTGACAAAAGAGATTCCTGATAAAAAAGAACTGGCGTCACGTGATGCTTCAGTCCTGATGGCTCTTAGTAAGTCTGTCCCAGAGTCGATGTCATCAGCTTGGTAGTTAACTCCTTGATGTCTGACTTGAAACCAGTTTGCAGCCATCTGTATCGTATTCAGGGGTCATTTCCTACAGGAGCGCACAGGAGCAGAGCTCCGGCAGTAAAAAGCCCAGGGGACGGGCACATACAACAAGCTCCACCCCCTGCTCCCAGAGGCCCTCAGTCAGAGCAAGAAGCAGCCAGGTAAGTTGCAGAGCTCTCCCCCCGGCCCGCCGGTCCAAAACAGTCCAGTGACAACTTTAAGACCAAGTTTTATTCAGGTACAAGCTCTCCCTCCTCTGCGAGGACAGATCTACACGTCTCACCCCGCCCCCCCAAGCTAGCAATCCAAAACAGTCCAGTGGAGCCTGAGCAATGGGTGTTGCCTTCTGACACACTTCCAGTGATGTCAGGGGGTGTGGCATATGCAAATAAGGTATGCTAATGAGCTCCTGCACCTCTTTTTCTACAAAATGACCCCTGATCGTATTCCAGCTTCATTCAGATGTTGTGTAATGGGTTTTAACACTCTCCGAATTCACAAGGCATCTGAAGGAACATCAGGGAAGATAAAGATATCCTCATTGATAAGCTTAAGACTGCCTTTCGTTTTAGCTTCCTGGAGTATGCGATTCTTAGTACGCAAATCTAAGAACTCCGCCAGAATGTCACGAGGTCCTCTACGATGATCTGAAGTGAGTGGTCCCAAACGATAGGCTCTAACCACCATCAGGGCTACCCCTTCTTCAAGTTGGAGGGTGGTGGCTAACCAAGAGGAAACACAGGTCGTCAGCTCAGTTGTCCTCTCCGACTGTTCCACAAATCCTCTGAATCTGAGGAAGCACTCTCTAGCTTTAAACTCCAGGGTAAAGATTCTCTCTCTTGCCCACGATTCATTGTGTTGCCATTTTCTGATGTACTCTTGATCAATGTTCCCTCTAAGCTGTGGAGTCTTGTGAGCAAAAAATCCACTTTGTGAGCTACTGGCATTAAAGTTGTGAGCGAGTGATTTGGCTACTGCATCAATTAGTTTGCTCTGGAGCCATCCTTCCTGAGCTAAGATGAAAATGTGTGAGCCAGAGGCTAAAAAACTGTGAGCTAGCTCACACTAACTCAGCTTAGAGGGAACCCTGCTCTTGATTAGTGATTGCTGTTTCAATCCTTCTGCATAGAAAGCTGAAGTGATTCCAATGCTCCCTCCAAGCTGTGGAGTCTCGTGAGCAAAAATGCTACTTTGTGAGCTACCGGCGTCAAAGTTGTGAGCGAGCCATTTGGCTACTGCATAAAGTAGTTTGCTCTGGAGCCCTCCTTCCTGAGCTAAGACAAAAATGTGTGAGCCGGAGGCTAAAAAACTGTGAGCTAGCTCACACTAACTCAGCTTAGAGGGAACACTGATTCCAACTGCTCCACCATCGGTTTAAGCATGTCATTTATATTTTCAAGCATTTCATTTTTAAAAGACCAAAGTAGTTCCTTTAAATCTTGTTTGGTAAGGTTTGCTTGTACAATCGTCTGACTCCTGTCTTCGGCGGCCATCTTGGAATTGGCCCTTTGGCTCCCTCTAGCTGCCCCGCCGTCCATTTCAGTGTTAAAAAAAGTTTTAAAGCCGGGAGTTTCAGCTTCCCCTGCCTTGACTCATGCTCCGCCAGTCTTACCCATATTCTGGGTGCTTATAAGCTCCACTGCTGCCTGTTATGTCGGAGGGGATCCAAGGGGAAGGTTAGAGCTTGTTTATCTGGCGTCCGCCATTTCCCAAGCGGATACCACACCCCCAATGATTCCATTCCTGACCCAATGTGCTTTGCATACGCCTTGAACTAAAACATGCGTCCTGTGCGTCTGCGCATCGGCACATGAGGACGCCTTCTGGCCCTGCCAAGCAAACACTGACCTGTCCTTCCTCAGCCTCCGTCCTGCCCTGGAGCAGCTGCAGCAAGCGAGTGGCTGTGAACCCCCCGGTAGAATCGATATACAGCACACCCTGCTTGAGGCTTTTGGAGACATTTGCTGCAATGTGGAGGCACGCCTAGAAACAGACAGCAGGAGAAAAATATGACGACCAAAAAGCAAGATCAAAATATTTAATTCAAAATGGGAAAGCAGTGTCTCTTGCCAGACGTTTCGCTCCAAAGTCTGCCTACCTGAGTTTTACCACTCCCAGGTGATCCCGTGAACTCCATCACCTCCCCAGTGTACAAGCCGCCATCCAGAAGCTTGTCTAAACTAAAAGAGGAACAGATGAGAAACCAAACAGAATTGGGAATACCTTTATCCCTTGCAAAGGGGATCATTGAGAAGAAGAAGAAAAGAGATCAGATTTATACCCCTCCCTTCACTACCCAAGGGAGTCTCAGAGCAGCTTACAAACTCCTTTCCCTTCCCCTCCCCACAACAGACACCCTGTGAGGTAGGTGGGGCTGAGAGAGCTCTGACAGAATCTGCTCTTTTTCAAGAACAGCTCTTATCAGAACTATGGCTTGCCCAAGGTCATCCAGCAGGTGCAAGTGGAGGAGTGGGGAATCTAACACGGTTCTCCCAGATTAGAGTCCGCACACTTAACCACTACACCAAACTGGCTTGGTTTGCTTCACCTCTATTCATTGCAATGAATTTCCAGTAAAAATCAGAAGACACCACTGGCCATTATTCTCTACATCGTGGGAACACTCCACCCTTTGGCATCTTTGTGACCAAAGCCCTAGAAGGATACAAGGTCCAATTTGAGATCATAATTGTCAATAAGGACCTGGGTGGGACTGAACCTCCTTGCCTTTTGCTCCCCGTAGACAAGATGGCAGTGGAGCTCTTGAGTTCTTCGTAGACATCGGCACCGTTGACAGGGAAGGAAGAAAACTGAGCCAGCAACACACGCCGAACAGCAACCAAGGCCTTAAAAAAAAACGAAGGCAGACCAAAGTTGAGCTCAGGTCTTAGACCAGAAGGGCTCCAACCAAAGCATAGACTTCTGGGGTGAAACGGTACTAGGAATGTAAAGAACAAAGATTATCCTAGTCAATATCCTGCCCAAGAGACCATCTGTTAATGAGGAGGGGCTCACAACCCACTGGCACAGCAACTGCCTGGCATATCAGGGTTTAGCCCTGTCATCTCCACCCAGATATGGATCTTGGCCCCGTTCTATTAGCCAACTTTCTCAGGAACAATTTCTGAATATTATTTATGAACTTAAAGGGTATAATTTGCCACTAGGACCTGTAGTCACGTTGCCCTATTATCTAAAAGACTGTGTGTGTCTTAGCCACAGGTAGGAAGCAAGAGTTAGTTTATTATTAGTTTCTCTAACAGCCAGATTCCCAATCTTTAGTAGTACGCAGGACCTCAGCAGAGTTCCTCTTGCTCTGGAACTCAGTCAACAAGACAAAAACTGTAATGCATGCTGAAAAACACAATTGTGGCCACGGGCACACGGGCAGGAAAATGCGGGGGGGAAGCGTGGCTGTTTGCCCCGAAGCAAAATAATGCGCGGTTGTGCCAGCAGACGTACCGTGGAGGTCCCGTGGTAGGGGGGAGGTGCCGAGCACACCACAATCCTGCGCCGCGGCAAAGAAGCGGTGCGGCAAATGGGTGTGTTTTTTCTCCGGACACCAAAGTGTGTGCATGCCTTGTTGGGTGCTCATGTGCATCCCATGGACAGTTGGGGGGAAAAAACCCTTTATACGAGGGGGCATGGGCGGGCGCCGGAACTACCACCGGAAACCCGATCAGACATCCGCCCTTGCCCCGCAGTTACCGGAAACTAGTACCTCCGAGGTACTAGTTTTAGCAGGAAGCCTCGGGTTCGCCACGGGAGCTCTACGCTTCCCAGATGTGGCGGTGAGATCGCGCCCGGAAAATCCGCCTATCTTCTGTCTCTCTAGCATGCCTAATGCTCCGTGTGGCCGCAGCCTGTAGTAAGACAGCGTGTTTCAGTGGCCAACACTCACCTTGTAGGATAAAGAACATTTCCGGGCAATCATCTCCAGATCTGATGAGACAAGATCCATCACTACAAAGAAAAATTTGAGGGAGAGAAACAAATTGACATAATAATACAATTACTGTGTTAGACGTATCCCCTGCTATGGCAGATATCTGCCCTACTGATTATTTTTGTGTGCATTCTATTTTATGTAAATATTTATACCCACTTTCCCCTTGTGGCCCAAAGCCATGTATATAACCAAGATTAAAAGCATAAAAAATACGATAAAATAAACATCAACCCACCTCTCACCCCAAATCCCAACAGTTTAAAGCCCATGAAAGGTTCTCAAGAATAAAACAGCTTTACAGTGCCTCCTAAAATATTCTGAAGATAGCACACTCTCCCACCTCCTCAAGGCAGACCTGACCCCTCTGCAAACTGGAATATCTTAAAACAAAAAATAAAATTACGCTTAAAAAAAAAGTAATAAAGCAATTTGGGATTTGATTTCAACATGCATTAGAGAACAACAACAGCAGAGTGTTCTGTTGCCTACGAGGGGGGGGGGAAATACAATTCAAGAAGTTGTGGGTTCAGATCTTGTTTCTGACATGGATTAATCCAGTGGCACCTTAAGCAAGCCCCTCAGTCTCAGCCTCCCAATCTGTAGTAGGACAAGGTGGGTCATGTATACCACCGTGAAATCCCCATTGTAACAGTAGTGGAAAATTTAGTTTGGATTCAAGCCACTGTCTCCAGTTAATGGTAGCAAATCTTGGAAAAGGCCTTTCACTGCCTGAATCCTTGGAAAACTGCTATCAGTCAATAAATAATATTGAGCTAGATAGCCAAGGGGTTTGAATCAGTAGAACGCTGATTTATTGGGTCATGTACTCTGACCAGCAGGGGCGTAGACTTTCAATTTTTTGGGGGGGGGGCTGTCAGAACCCACAGCTAACAACGAAGTACACGCATTCAGGAACGGTTATACTTTTATTGCAAAGCTATAGATGCAATAACACAGGCACTGTTAGGAATGGCCACAGCCAGTAGAGCCTAATAGGATATAGGGTTTTTGTATGCACCCCGCCATGGCATTGGCCAATTAGGCACCCTCCCGCGCACGGGATAAGTCAGGCAACCGTTAGGTGGCTAAAGCTGAGAACTCGAAGTCTCCCACGGTACATAGGAGCTCTCCAGACAACACACCCTCCTCCTGCACATCTGTAGAGATAAGCGTTTCAGCAAAGGCATAACAGCAGGGATAGGAATGCAATAGCAATTAACAAGACACAGAATGAACTCCCCAACCCCCAGGGGCATTGCTATGCTAGGTCCTTAGAAGAACTGAGGCCCAGCGACATCATAGGGAGGAGCCAGTGACATCACAGGCCATTGTCACTATCTGTGGAGGTGGAGCCATGTGGGATTTAGGGGGGGCTGGGAACCCATGGGAACCCCCACAGCCATGCCCCTGGGCCTGGAAATGCATGGGAACCCCCACAGCCATGCCCCCAACCCAGGAAAAGGTGGGAGTTGTCCAGTGGTTATAGTGGTATCTCAGCGGTCTCCTGCTGTGTCTTTTTAAAATTCACTTTTAGAATAGTCACTTTGAGATCTGCAAATATAGATACCATATGCATAAGATAAACAAATGGTCACAAGTTTGGCAGTAAGGAAGGCAACACAGAAAAGCCTGTAAGGGAACATTTTAAAAGTTTTCCTGCACATTCATTTACAGGAGTCTGGTTTCTGCCTTATTCCTAAGGGTGACTTTGTACTGAAATGTACTAAATTACGGCATCACAGATTGCTAGGGATTGTCATTCCACTCTGGGGGCTGTCATTCCAGTCCCAGAGTCGCCTATCTGGGCCCAAAGCTCTTAATGGAAAACTCATTCCGCATTTTCTTTGCAACTTTTTTTGTGCTGCAATGTATTTCAGTGGAGCCCATGCAAGTCAACTGGCATTCCTGGCTCCCATTATTTCCAATCGTCCTTCAAGCCTCTCCCATTGTTTCCAATGGGCAATTCTGTCATTACTTTTATACATCCCAGTCAGTTGCCCCTTTGAAACTGCACTGCACCATTTTAAGTAACGGCAAAATGAAGAGCACAAACATGTACAGAGTGTTCATTTCTTGCCAATATTCTCTCTGGGCTGCACACAGGGCAAAAGGAAATTTTAAAAGGCCTCTGACCTGCATGCCCCCCCCCCATCTTGTTCATGAAGATGGGCTTACCATTTAAAAATGAAATGAAAATTGAAAGTAGAGTTTAGGAGTGGTTGAAGCACACACATCCCTCCACTACCATGAAAAAAACAACTTTCAATCAAGGATATATAAACCCAAGTAAAATAAAATAGAGACACAATTTTCCCCCAAATGCAAATTGAAGCCCAGTAAGTATGTTGGGCTCAACAGAGGCTTGTAGTCTGACTATTGTTATATTGAAAGTGGGTGGAGACAGACAGGATTAAGGACCTTTCTTTTCCAACAGACACCAAACATATTCAAGGATTGATATGTTCTGAATATCGTAAACCTTAGTTATTAACCTAGAGCGTGCAAAGATACAACCAAAAACCTGATGGATCCAGCAGCCATTCCTGTTGCAAGGAATGTTATCAAATCTCTTTCCCCGCTCAGGTTTTCCCGTCTCCAGAGATGTGTCTTCCTAAAGATTCTTTAGCATTTGGTACATCCACATATATGCCTGAAGAAGGAAGGGGGATGTTTAACCATCCCACTGACTATCCTGCTAGCTTAATTAGCATTTGTAAGAAGGTGAGCCTGACTTCCTTCTTTCTAGCCCAGAGGGAAAAACCCACAGGGGAAAGGTTTAAACCCAATATTGCCTGGCCCTGGTTTCCCAGGGGAGGCTAAATCTTCCCCGGAAAAATTCGGGGAAGGCCCAAGCCCCCCCCCCCCCATAGTTTACGCCTATGCTGATCAGACCAACACCTGATGCTGGTTGCCACCCACTTAGTATCCATGGCTCCACCACTTGACCATGTGTTTTGAGAGTCACAACCAAGGATTCTTAATTACAACTCTAAAATACAAAGATCTTAATCTTCTGGTCCGATACAAACCCTATTTAATACAGACTTTATTTAGCATACTTCTTATCCAGAGAGCCAGTTTGGGGCAATGGTTAGGAGCGTGGACTCTAATCTGGGAGAACCAGGTTTGATTCCCCACTCCTCCACTTGCACCTGTTGGATGACCTGGGGCAAGCCATAGTTCTGTCAGCCCCACTTACCTCACAGGGTGTCTGTTGTGGGAAGGGGAAGGGAATGGAGTTTGTAAGCTGCTCTGAGACTCTGAGTGAAGGGCGGGGTATAAATCCAATCTCTTCTTCTTCTGTTTTTCTCCCTAATGGGGACCCAATTACATCCATTCATTTAGACTGTAAGCCGTTTAGAGCAGGGACCCAGCTCTCTCAGTTGTATTATTTTCTGAACCACCATGGACTTTGATGGTGCTATACAAATATTATTTAAAAGCATTTTAAAAAGAAGAGTAGGTTTTTATACCCGCTTTTCTGTACCCTAAGGAGTCTTAAAACAGCTTACAATCACCTTCCTGTTCTCTCTCCACAACAGGCACCTTGTGAGGGCTGAGAGAGGGCTGAGAGAGTTCTGAGAGAACGATGACTGGCCCAAGGTCTCCCAGCAGGCTTCATGTGGAAGAGTGGGGAAGCAAAGTCCAGATTAGAAGATGCCACTCTAAACCACTACACCATGCTGACTCTCATGGTGGTTTAAAGAGGGCTGTGGGCAACGTTCCCTCTAAGCTATGGAGTCCTGTGAGCAAAAATTCCACTTTGTGAGCTACTGGCATTAAAGCTGTGAGCAGGTGATTTGGCTACAGCATCAATTAGTTTCCTCTGGAGCCCTCCTTCCTGAGCTGAGACAAAAAGGTGTGAGCCAGAGGCTAAAAAACTGTGAGCTAGCTCACACTAACTCAGCTTAGAGGGAACACTGGCTGTGGGACATCTGCAGGGTTGCCTGTAAACTTTAAATACACCTTTCCCCCAAATTGGACACAAAGTTCCTTCCTATTTTTCCTCTCCTCCTAAGGAGGTCCAGTCTTTACCTGTTCTGACACCGTTGTCCTTCAGCTGTTGGACCATCTCAGCCGTGAGGCCAAGGCAGAGTCCCACACGGAGGATCATGATTCTGCTGGTATTTCAGCCTAGACAGGAAAACACGGGGTACTGAATGGCTTTGGGACCCCCAAGAAACGAGACCAGGTGAAGTCCACACTGACACCAACACACACACAAAAATCACACTGCTGTTCGACGCTATTAATTATACCTTGAATCAATTGTACAATTTGTCGGGAGATCTGTAAATTGAATCTCCCAGTATTTTTTTAAAGGAAACAGAGACCCAGATAAGATCACAGTGTGGATTAGGACTGCAATGTAGGGGCAAAAGGGGTACCATACAAGCCTCCTCTCCCATATGGGTTCCCCAATCAAGAGTAACTCCCTCCCCTCCCAAGTGGATTATAAAGATAGGACAATAGTTACATCAGAAATCAATCCAACTTGGGCATGTTGTAGGTTATCTTTGATAAATTAGTTTAAATGTTATTCCTTCCTTTGTTATGATGTCTTGTATAAACTTGTATTAAGGGAATTAAAAGCAAAATAAAATATTTTTTTTTAAAGTGTAACTCCCTCCCCCAAAGCAGCTGCAGCCCCATACTTTTCCAGCCAGGGACCCAATTGTAACACCATGCCACAGAGAAAACTAATTCACATTAAACTTTTTATTTATTTATTGTCTCTGCTGTTTTTGCAGCCAGTCGTAAACAGCAAACCCTCATTAAATACACTTGTGAATGCACCCATTTCCCACACAGCCAGCACAATTTGTTTTTATTTACTTCACTTGTACCCCATCTTTCTCCCCAATGGAGACCCAAAGCAGCTTCATTCTCTCCTCTCCTCCATTTTATCCTCACAACCACCCTGTGAGGCGAATTAGGCTGAGAGAGTGTGACTGGCTCAGGGTCGCCCAGCGAGCTTCCACGGCAAGAGAGGGGGTTCGAACCTGGCTCTTCCAGATTCTAGTCGCTTCCCTCAGAGTAAGCCCCAAGCCCCTCTGAAACGACCTGAGCACGATTCTGAGCAGACGTGCTTAGGGCAGCAATGTAGGGTAAAAAAAAATAATCCAGATCAAGTTTCCAGCGCTCGCGGAGGCCTAGTTCTCACACAGGAAGTCAACCTGTGGCTGGCCTCTGCCCCTTTAACCTGAAGTGGGTGGATTTCACTGGCCAGCTCCACCACACACCAAAATGTTAGGTGAGCACAAGGGGGGTGGGGGGGTGTTACAAGCTTTCTCCTTGACAATTCACTTTTCTATGTGCAGGGATTGAGGGTGGGGGATCAGGAAGGGCACTCCAAGGCCTGAGGTGTAGCTCAGGAACCGGGGAGACTACCTGCATGAAGACAGACCAAGATGGGTAGCTGCTGTTTTATTCTGTCTGTAGCAGCAGTAAAGAGCAGGAGTCCAGGAGCACCTTCAAGAGGAACAAAATTTGTGCCAGGGGATGAGCTCTCCTGAGTCACTGCTCCCTTCTTCAGATACTTGAAGAAGTGAGCAGATACCACTGAAGAAGGGAGCGGTGACTCAGGAAAGCTCCTCCCCTGCCCCAAATTTTGTTAGTCTTGAAGGTGCTCCTGGACTCCTGCTTCTTCTTTTTTTACCTGCATGAGAAAGAGGCTTCAGTCAAGCGTCTCTTCGGAAACAGCACTTAATTTAAAAACAGAGCATAAAGAAAGCGCCTCCCGCGAGCAATAATAATATCGATAGCAATAATAATATGCGCTTACCAATGTTCCCTTTAAGCCGTGGAGTCTTGTGAGCAAAAATCCTACTTTGTGAGCTACTAGCATTACAGTTGTGAGCGAGCGATTTGGCTACTACATAAATTAGTTTCCTCTAGAGCCATCCTTCCTGAGCTGAGACAAAAATGTGTGAGCTGGAGGCTAAAAAAACGGTGAGCTATCTAACACTAACTCAGCTTAGAGGGAACACTGGCGCTTACTACTTTCTGAACAGACGCTGATTTTTGCAAAGCAGCAAAAAAAATGGGGACAGAAAGGCATGCAACAGACAACACCAAGTTAAAAGAACTTTCAGCTACCTGGCCTGCTTGCGAAAGCACAAATGCATTAACAAGACCCGGCTACCTGCTTTCCTTCCGTAGTGCTAAAGCCTCCACTTATTCCCCTCCGTGCAACTCCGCGTCTCTTTCTTGCACCTCTCTATAGCATGTTTTGTTCCTAGACTGGCGAGCTCGCCTCATCCACCCACTCATGCTTTGGTCCTTTAGCGCCACCTGCTGGAAATACAAAGAATTCCTTCCAATAGGCGTGTGAAGACACGAGATCATCTGAGCGGCCGCCGGCGAAAGCTCGTGCCGGAATGATAAGCCACCCGGACGTCTGTTTTATTTTGAACAAAGAGAGGACAGCGCTAGGTTGTATTACCACTAGGGGCTTCTGTACACATGCATATACATACATACAAGAAAATGAACCATAATGGAATCGCGACCAGATCAAACCAGAGCGTAGAACCTCCATGCTCAGGGGCAGTATACCGCTGAATGCCAGTTCCTAGCAGCCACACCCAGGGGCTCCAGGGGAAATAGTTTGAGCTCTGTGTCTGCCTGTTTACTGTTTTTAAAAAAAATCAAGGAAGATAGGTGTTTCTTTCAGTCAGAGAGATATAATTGTCCATCCGACATTAAATTAGGGTTGCCAGCTCCAGGTTGGGAAATAACTGAAGCTTTTGTGGGCCGTTTTCAAAGCAGCCATTTTCTCTAGATCGTTGTCAGCTGAAGATCAGTTGTAATCCCAGATCTCCAGCCACTACCTGGAGGCTGGCAACACTGTAGGTTGTCAGAAACTGCCTTGCCACACTCTACCTGGGGCCTCCCAGAATTACTGTCCACATGCCTGTGGCCAGGTGACAGAGATCAGTTCCCCTGAAGAAAACGGCTGCTTTGGAGGGTGGACTCTATGGCATTTTAACCCATTGACGTCTCTCCCCTCCCCAACCCCTGCCCCCCCCCCCATCTCCAGTAATTTCTCAGCCTGGAGTTGGCAACCCTCCATATGCTTGAGTTTCCCCTCATCGTCAAAGTGATACCCTATTTTCTGGTCCCTGTCCCTGATAAACTACTCCCTCTCTTTTGTCCTTATTTTCATGAGGGTGGGGGATGCCTTGTTAGAGAATGTCATTATTGTGGATTACTAGTGCTGTCACAGCCTTGGCCTGGATAGCCCAGGCTCGTCTGATTTAGTAAGAAAGCCATAGCAACTGTACAGAATAAAACAAAAATAAAACAAAAAAACCCCCAGCAACACACATTTAAAATTATCAAATTTGTATATAGGTCGACAGTTATCAGCAGTAAACTAATTAAACTCAGGGAGATTTGTTTTCTTAATCACCGCAGCTAGAAAGGAAGCCACTATAGCCGTGGTTTGATTGTCAGGGAAGTTATCAGACAATAGCAGTGAAACTGCCCAAGGAAGGAGGGGAAGCTTTGCTTTTCTCATAACGGGAATGATGTATCTCTCTCTTTCCTTATTCCACTTAGGGCAGAAAAGCATTATATGATCCATAGTTTCTATCATCTCTTGTCCACAATCACAAACACGTTCCGAAAATGGAAGTCCCAAGAAATGACCAGAGAGCACCTTAGAGGGGAAGGAGTTAAGTCTCGCCAAGGTGAACGCTCTGCGTTGTCTTGGGATCTTTAAAGTGTAGCAATATGCCGGAATAGCCTCGGGGGGGCATCAGATTTAAGAAGCTAAGCAGGGCCAGCCCTGGTCAGTATTTGGATGGGAGACCACCAAGGAATACCAGTACACAGAGCCAGGCAACGGTAAAGCACCTCCGAAACATCTCTTGCCTTGAAAAGCCCTAATGGGTAGGGTTGCCATGTCCCCGCTGGCCACTGGCAGGGGAGATAGGGATGTGGGGTTGCGAGATCCAGGTTGGGAAACTCCTGGAGATTTGTGGGGGGGGGGGATCTGGGGAGACGAGGGACCTCAGTGGGGTCCGATGCCCTAAAGTCCACCCTCCAAAGCATCCGTTGTCTCCAGGGGAACTGACCTCTGTAGTCTGGAGATGAGTTGTAATGCTGGGGGGTCCCCCGGTCCCACCTGGAGGCTGGCACCCCTACTATGGGGTCACCATAAGTCGGCTACGACTTGATGGCAAAAGAGAAAGGAGTTGTCATTCTTCCTAAGTAAGACCACAGTGTCGCAATGGGATTTGGAACCTGGAGCAAGTTCTCGAAGTTACTGGAGACCCGCCGGCTGTTGCAGCTGCTGCTGGGATTCTTCCCCCCCCCCCCCCCCCCCCGGGGAGGGAAGCCATTTGTTCCGTCATCTCAAATATCTGACACATCCTTAAATAGAATGGGAAAGGGGTCTGCACACTTCTTCGGCAGGGTGAGCGGCCCTCGGAGCCTTTGCGCATTTGCCATTTAAAAGTCAGCTGTCTAGTTTTGCTGTGTCCTGATGCAGCTGTTGACACGCTCGTTTCAGGGAATGGTTGAGATGTGTGATTTATTCCTGATTTAAAGGCGAGGTGCTCCTCTGGAAGCTAGACCCTCACCCCTATGGTCTCACTCACTGTGCCGCAGTCCTTGGCTCGTGACCACTTCATTGAGCTATATATAAACATACAAATCCAGGAGGGCAGACTTTATCAGTGTGCTACGAGGGAGGAGACGGTGCAGGCCGTGCGCTCGGCGAAGGAAAACTCATCCGGCTAGTGAACGTTCTGCTGTCAAGGTGAGGAAGGTTTGGGGGAGAGAGGAGCATGGACTGGGAGTTTATAAGAAAAGCATGGAATAAAAACCAATTGTATGATTTGTTGGTGCGTTAAGCAGTATTCCCTCTAAGCTGAGTTAGAGTGAGCTAGCTCACAGTTTTTTAGCCTCCAGCTCACACATTTTTGTCTCAGCTCAGGAAGGGATGGCTCCAGAGCAAACTAATTAATGCAGGAGCCAAATCGCTTGCTCCCAACTTTAATGCCAGTAGCTCACAAAGTAGAATTTTTGCTCACGAGACTCCACAGTTTAGAGGGAACATTGGCGTTAATTATTATTGCCAGGGGTAGCATTTCCCCACCACCACCACCA